GGCTTCTCTAATCAAAACGGAGCCCAAGCTACGGCAATTTCGTCCAGTGCCGACCGTTCTACAGGCTCTTATACCGTTCTACCGGCTTTTATACGCCATTACCGGCTCTGATACGCTAATACCGGTTTCACTGCGAACCAGCCTACCAAGGATTCCGGAGTCACTAAGTCCAAAAATGCCATATACATAACCTGATGTAATGTGTGTTCGAACATAACGTATATACTAGTGACAATATGTGACAGTGTTCATGAGATGAACTGGACATTTTGCCAAATATCAAAGCAAACCTTTTTAACTTGAGTTAAGTGTTTAGGTTAACAATCCGCGATATTGCATGCGCAAGTTCAGCATGCTCTTGTGATCGAACATCCAGGAAAACTCGCTTATTGTTGGATAGATTTGAAGTTTATGGCAATGAAGTGATGACGAAGTTTATGATAAAACCATGTGTTAGACGCATATAACTGGTATAATTTGTAGGCCAAGTGAAAGCTTCTCTTTTGTGTAGAATGGGAATTGGGCATAGGTATACTACAGTATTGAACACATGTGTTTATAAGGCTTACTTACTTATGTGTATTCTTGAAGCGCAGCCTTAAGAAAAACGTTGTAAATATTACATGCCAAGCACATATCAGTCCAACATGAGAGCTTCACTTAACGGAAAACTTGCATCTAAAAACAGACATTAGTGACACACCGAAGGAGCAATCGACAAATTGTGCGTTGGATGCTCAACACATATCAACGAAGTGATAATATCTATTGGTTCTGATTCGCTAGGAAGCCTGTCCACAAAAGGATGCATCTATATGTGTATACAGTATACACATATTTATATATATATATATACATATGTACTGGCATACGTTTTTAGACCTGTAACAACCTGATATGAGAAGAAAGAAGCATGTTTGCAGTCCGCTGGTATGCTAGCAATGGGAGCGCAGGTTCGACGATACTACGAAACATGGGATGAAGCTTGATCTGACGAAAGCTGAGATATGAAGGGACATACATGTTTGCAGAGTGTATGAACGAAGCTGGTGTTTACAAGGCATGTCAAGAGACTTCCTAGATACAACTAAGGTTTTGCTTCTTCGCTGCACAACCGAAAGTATAGTGTGCATGCGACTTGATTTCGGCAAGAGTCTATACTCATGCTTATGTACATTCGCATTCTTTCGGAGAAAGTGATTTTCCATGCCAAAATTAGCATATCGGTCGAGGCAGTCCAAAAAACAAACATAGCAACGGAATAGCTTGGAATCTTTGGCGTTCTCAATATTCTGGGACTGCCTCGATGAGTACGCGCATACGTTGGCTCATGGGTTTTGGTATTTTGACTGGTTTGGGACTGCCTTCAGAAACGTGCTTCCGAAATGGACTGCCTCGATGAATATGCTCATGTTTTGGCTTATGAGTTTTGGCATGTTTCGTTGTTGGGGACTGTGTAGAGAAATAAGATTGTGGAAAGGTTCCCGAAATCATGTGTTTTTGGGAGTGCCTCGAGAAATAGGGTGATTCTTCTCGTTGTATTGATTGCTCACGCTCGTTTCGGATGTACATCTGTCTTCTGCAGCATGCACAGATACAAGAATGTCACCAGGTACATTCGTACATGCATGTACATGCACACAGATACGAGATATGAGAGAAGTGCAGACCAGGATACTGTTCTCAGACTAAAGTTGTGGATCCCAGGGGGGGCGGGACCATACATTTACATGCATAGATGTAAACAGGCGTACATACGTACGTACATACGTACATACATACATCCATACATACATACAAAACATACACATGCATGCCTACCGCCCGCCCTCCCGCCTGCCTGCCTGCCTGCCTGCCGGCCTGTATGCATGCATACATACATACATACACACATACCGATATACACGTTAACATATTATGAACCTAGCAGTACCCCCCGCCCCCCGACAGAGGCCAACCTGTCTGGTCTCTCTGCTGCAGGATGATGTCTCGTTGAGATACCAGTACAATTGGTCACATCTCTCAGACGACGACCGTGGAACGACACGACCAGGGAAACCTTGTGTTGGTCGGCCATGCTACCCAAAGTTGGTTTTCCAGTTTTTTCCAGCAGTTCCACGAATGTTTGCCTCATGTATTGAGGATTTCGTTGAAAAAGTTGGAAACACCAACATTTTTGCTTCCAAGTGCTTCAAAAAGTTTGCTTTCATAGCATCACTGACTCACAAATTCACTGACTCGTATGCAGTATTCATAGAAATATCCATACTTATACAGTGTCAATATTAGCAATAGTATGTATATTCGTAGCAATATTAATACTACTATTAATGTGAATATGATTATTAGTATTCGAAGGAACATTAGTAATATTCGTGTTTGTACTACTACGAGTATCGCAAGGATTAGTAGTCGTAAGAGTATTATGAGTATTCTCATGACTATCAGCATTAGTTTTCCTTTTAGTATTAGTATTATGCTTAATGCTGGTACTAAGATTAATATTAAATGAATATGAATATTTGCTTCGTAGGAATATTCATGTTAATATAACCAATGTTGATTAGGACTAATACTAGTACGAATATACATGCGAATGCTGCGATTAATACTTGCCACATCTAGGGTGTACAAGGAACATTAACCTCAAAATTGATGTTTGTACTAACAAATACTCATATACATACTAATGCTAATATTAACACGTGCCAAATCTACGGGTATCTTGCCTGCAGTTGTGGTGTGTCTTGGAAAGCCAGGGATAGGGTACGTTGGAAGGGTAGCAAATATGCATATCTAAATATGTTCATACCCATAGCACACGGTGACGAGAACGAGAACGACCACGGATAACAACGAAGCAGCTGACAATCGCAGACTTATTATTTTCTGTGACGATGATGATGATGATGATGCTGATGATGCTGATGATGCTGATGACGATAGTTCTCATGATGGCGACGAGGATGGCCTCGATGCAGACTCTCTGGGGGAATGCCTGGCAGTGTCGTGCGAATCTATTCAATGTGCTCAACAATTCACCGCCGCTCGTGATAAATTTGTGGCCGCAGCGCATCCGATCAGCGAAGTTAGCGCCTAAGCTGAGACGGATCTCTGATAAGGGCAACACAACAAGGAGCTAGAGCAGCCAAGAGGCCGCAATGTCCACACGACAGTTCTGCGGCCGAAGCATTAACCTTCAAGGAACGCGCAAACCCCTCGAGTCTAGCAGTCTAGCAGGTCTAACGGCAACAGCCCGTTGCAAGCAAGCCAGGAACACAACTCCTCCACCTCTGGCAAGCCGTCCTCACCACTCGCCAGGCGGGAGTGGTCCTGCGCTGCGAGATGGACCGCCCGGAGCATTTCAGAGCCTCGTCTCTCGCCCTCATTCGCCCTCGCCTCGGCGGGTGGAAGCACCTCAAAGCAAGTGGCATCCTAGACGAGGCGAGACGACACGATAAGTCGACTTGCCCTGCCGAGCCTCCATCCCACTCTTCGTAAAAATCGCTTCCGTGGACCTAAGTCCGGGCGCGCTGATTCATCGTGCAACGCTCTGATGCACGGGGGGGAAAGGCCTTGCAAACGCTTGACACTTTCTCAGCAGCCAACGGAAAGTTATCTGGTGAAAGTAGATAAAGCCTCGTTGCACATCTGTGCATCCACTCAACATTGTGCAGAAAGAATGAGAAGGTACCACAAACGGCGACAAGCATAAGAAGAACTAAACCCTGCAGGTGACCGAACGAGAGTTCTGCACTAAGAATCTGACAACATCCGAACCTTGAACAGAAAAGGATTCAAGGCCTAAGTACGGCAAGACCAAGATCAAGTCAGCGCAGTAGCAGAAGAGCGAGCGAGAGAGCGAGAGACAGTCAGAGAGGCAAAGAGAGCGAGAGAGATAGAGAGAGAGAGAGAGAGAGAGAGCGAGAGAGAGAGGGAGGGAGAGGGAAAGAGAGAGAGAGAGAGAGAGAGAGAGAGAGAGAGAGAGCAATTGCCAATACTCCGTTGCAAAGCTGAGAGCGGAGACGAGCTTCAGCACTTTGGCTGCCTGAACAAGTGCAGGGGCTACTACCTCAAAACCACGAAGACGAAATGTGTTGTCTTTCTGCACTTCATGCTCGTGTAGGAGCAACATGTCTTCCCGCGTGTCAAACGAGGGAGCACCTTAGGGGTGTACCGACTCCGAAGATCTGTCTCAAAACTTCTCCCAATTGGCAGACCCAAATTGGACACGCACTGGTCATCCTGCCTCTGCTAAGGTCTGGATAGGGGTGAGCCGCATTGATTGATCGGCTCCTGCCGACTGCACTCTGGCTTATCATCAGGTGCAGGGGTGCCAAGCCGGCCAGCCGAGATGGTATGACGAAGCTGAACCATTGCATGTGAGTTCATGTTGCCTTCACATGGCCTTGCAGACCTCCAAGGGTTAGGGCTGGTATCCCGACAAGGAGAGAGTAAGTGGCAAGACCCATGCTACCAAGTCTGAACATGCACCGCCTGGGCAGCAAAAACAAAGAACTCTGAAAGTTGTCAGCGTCAACTTTTACGAGGAACGCCCCGCAAGCAGCAACTAAAAACTGCAAGAACAACTCAGTCAGGATTGAAATCAGGAACGCCACCTTGACCAGTTGATGCCAAGGTCTGCACCTGACTTCCATTGCAAGGTGCTGCAAGGTGCACACTAGCAGTCACTAGCAGCAATAACGTTTTGTGTCACTACACAATAAGCCGCCCAGAAATGCTGTGGAGGTGGCCAAGCTCCAGATGCTTTCGGATTCAGCCGCATGCCCTGCCGTTTTGCAGCACGTGCTGTGCAGCTGGTTGTCTGAAGGTGCCCTGCAAAAAGGCTGCTGGACAGGCCTGAAGCTTGATGAAAACCGGATTCAATCAGTGCATCATCCTGGGTCTTCAGCCAAAGCATGCCTAAAAAGTGCAGGTCACGGCAGCACTGACCGAGGCCATATCGCACAGACAAGAAAGGACAACCACCGCCTCTAACGCAGTCAGTCACATGATGCCAAATACTGCATCTCTCTCAAAGGCCCGATTCAGCATCCCCGCGCGCAGCCTCCAATAGGTAGAATCCATGCACCAACTGCCTGTCGCATGCCAGACACTGTCAAAACTGACGCCAAGTTTGTCTCAAAGCCTTGCACGGCCCAGCTCAGAAGGTTTGCATGCCCGGCTCTTGCAGAGACCTGGTATCCGGCAACGACGACCACTCTTTCGGCGTCATGCAAACAAGGCAGGTGGACAAAGCAACAAGGCTGTCAAAGTCTGAAACCGACCATGTGGCGTGGTGGACAAGAGAAAGGTTGCCTCAGGCAAATGTCGGAGGCCGACTGAAAACTCATCCAATGGCGGGGTTTCCAAACCCCACAGGGGGCATCCTTTCAGCGTCTTTTCGAACTCCGGATCGGTTTCATGGGCGGAAAACTCTGAGGCCTGCACCAGTTTACCACCCAGCACCTGTGCAACCCGTCACACAGTCGCATCCTTTCTTGTGCAGCTTTGGCACCAAGAAAACAACTCTGGACAATGGGTGGCCGAGCTGGCTCTGTGTTTGATTCCTACAGGCATGACCTCACCTGTTGCAATGCTAAGTCATGCGTGAGTGTCATGCACGCGGACGTAGTTGAGGAAGCTGCCCACAATGGCAAATCCACATTTCTGCTGCTGCTACTGAGGAAAAGGCACAAGGTTGAGGCTGTGTGGCTAGTCGCAGCTGCATTGTTTTCATGGTAATTTCCGTGCATGTACATACAAGACTTTGGCGGCCTGCGTCAGTGGCGGCGTGGCCTCGTGTTCTGTTAGAGCAGCTGCAGCAAACTCCAGATCTGATCCGAGATTCAGGCATCAATGGCCTCAGCAATGATACCACGAAGCATCAAAGCCTCAGCACACCGCACCCCAGTGGGCTTCCATTTCAGATCAAGCATGCAGAGAGTGTGCATCTGACGACACGCACATGTGATGTCAGGACCGGACGGCAGCCGAGGTCTCGCTGCCATCCAGCGTCCTCGCTACGGATGCCGGAGTTTACAGCGCTGGCAGGGGCTAAGGGGGCCAGGTCCTCCGCGACGCGGAGGAAGTGGCCGAGGCCGAGGCTGAGGACTCTGCCTCTGGACATCTCTGGACTCTGCACGGCACGTGGCAAAGCAGAAGTGCAACACCAAGCCCAAAGCGCCCAGAGCGGCAGCAGGTCGCGTCCTCAATCGCACCTGCGAAGGCTTCTGGTCTCGGACAAGGCAAGACCATGCTGCAGTGTCGCCTCAGCCAAAGCTATGCTGTCTGCGCACAGCTTGCTGAGGGACATCATTGGGCCGGCCCTCGGAGAGACGAGAAACTCATGGCTCATAGCCAGGGAGCTGAGGCTCACACACTCCAGGCACGGCACCAAGAGCCTGAACGCATCCACACTTAGACTCAGCCAAGTTGAAGAGAGAGCTGACTACAGTGGCACCTCCGGAAGACAGGCTGCTTGAGTGTGCTGTTGGCCAAGTCGCCGAAGCTGGCCTGGATCGATCATATCAACAAGCTCGAGCAAGCCTGGGCATCTGGTGAAGAGCGCTAAGTGCCTTCCAAGCAAGCAAGAAAGTCATCCGATGCCTCAGGGTAAATAAAAATCAACAAAGCGCATGAGTCCTTGCAATGGTCCAAGTCGTGTGGCATCTGCATGACGGCGCGGAATTGGAAAGTCCACAGCTTCGTCTGCAGCTCCTGTCGGTGCGGCAGCATATCTTCGGCGTCCAAGAGGGCTTCGGCAGGTTTCCTGCAGCGTGGAGCGGCAGGCGGAACCTGGCGCTCTCTCCGATGTCTCCGACCTTGCCATCGGCGAAACAGCAAAACATCACTCATCAGCTCCGCAGCAAGTTTCCGTAGGGCAGGAACCGGCAGGAGGGCGTTGGCTACGGTTCCGCAGTAGGGGCCTAAGGCCATCACTTGGACAAGCATCTGCCCATAAGACTGCATGCGAGCTACACGTTTAGCTCAGATGTCTCAGCAGCACACACGATGTCCGATCACCTGCAGATCTGCAACTGTCAGGCATTGAACCGAAGTTGTAAGTCGAGTAGCATGCGAAGCTTGAGAAACAGCTCACTGTCGTGTGAAGAACAGAGTGAAACTACCGAGACTACGATGCCATAGGCTATGACGGTCGGCTGCATCGTGCATCGTCTGTTTTCGTGCCAGACCACAAACAAAACTATGCCCCCATTGAATTGTGCAAGCACGAGATGATCCAAGATGGGAGATGGGGTTGATCACACAGGTACGCTGATTTCGCATCTGTAAGTCAGGTCCCCTTGCAGGCCATGCTTGGATGCATGGCCTCCAGAGCGGAGGGATGCCGGACGGAAGCTCCGCCAGCAGGAGAAGTGCCTCGACTCGGTTTCCAGAAACGCTTTCCGCCCTGAACTCTCCTTCTGTATGCACGGGGCATGCGATGCGAACAAGCGCGAGCCAGGACCTCAAACAGAACAGCGCGAGAGCTTGCACCGTCACCACGAGCCAGGCGGGGCCAGGGGGGCCCGGACGAGTCCGTCCGGCGCTTGCGCTTCGAAGCACTGCGGCCTCGCAAGGAGCCAAAGCGACGCCGCTGGCTCACGGCTCACTTTGTGAGGCAGAGGCCCAGCCAGGCCTTCTTGGAGGGCCACTCACAGGGGCTTTCGACTGCTGGAGCAGGACAGCTTGCTCGGTCGGCACCTCTTCAATGAGGTCGACTCAACAACAGACTCCCGACATGGCAAGCAAGGTGCGACACAGGCGAAATGCTGAGTTCCCCTGCTCTGGATCTGGGCCTGGTCAGAGCACCACTGCTTGAACTGACGACATCAAGTGTCTCACACTGCAAGACCCAGAAGTGCACTGAGCCTGAAGCATAAGGAAGCCCTACGCTGAGCTACTTCTACCGTGGCAGCGCCCCGAAGCTGAGCTGCCCTGCATGGAGGATGCCACCGCAGGTCGCAGGAAGCAGATGAGTCCAAGCGGGTTTTCCGAGTCTTCTCCTTCCTGTCAGGTGTCAGGGCTACTATCGCTCCAAAGACTTTCACTGACAGTGCTGGAAGCGGCAATCGTCCTGGTGCGACATGCAGACGACACACTCGGCAGGAGACATCTGGGCAAGGCGCAGCTATGCGCAGGGTGCAGGATGCAGGATGTACCGGAGACGCTCCGAGCCTCCATGCCAGCCAAGCCAGCCTCAGCATCCATACCCTTTTGCTCCTGTCCGCAGAGGTGGTCATTGAGCGGGAGTCGCCGCTGCACTCCCGGAGGGCGCCTCTTGCGACTTGCTGTCCGTTTCGAGCAAATCGCGCCCTGCCTCGTGCAGGCAGAGTTCCTCCAAAGCGAGCAGATCAGCCAAGATCCCGGCGGCGCCGGAGATGAAGGCAGCTTGGCGCTTTCGCAGGCTCTCGAGCCTGTTCTCACACCAACTGGAGCGAGTGGAGCAAAGACCTCAGACCAGAGGTGCCCAAGGCCCCAGCATGCGCTGCTGCCTCTCCACGGCCTTGCGGCGCTTGGCCTTGCGGTCCTCGGAGAAGACCGAGAGAGAGCCCCGCAATCAAAGCCCAGGCCCTGAAAGCTTTTTCTCCCTGCCTCGTCGCCATGGCAAGCGCTCTCCGAGCCTCAGACAAAGGCCGAGCCCGAGACTCACAAAGTACGTCAAGGCCGAGGCGACTTGGCACCGCCTCTGTCAGCAGCCGCTGCCGAAGGCCTCGCCTTTGTGCGCCGGCTATTTACACAAGGGCCCGAGAACCGGTTTGGGACTGCGGCGCTAAACTGCTCGAGACGCTGCCGCCCACCGCCACCAGCCTGTCCACCTGGTTGAGCAGCGACTGCCCGGCAAAGGGCACTGATTCTGAATTGCTTCCGCAAGCTCTCAGATCCCAGCGGCATCCATCAACGACACATTCAGCTCTGCCTCGAGTGGGCTCGCTTGAACTGGCTGAAAATCAGCATGTCAGCTCTGTTCGTAGCCTTTGCAGCGCCGGCTGTCGTCACCTGACCAATCCCGCAATAAGGCAGCAGACGCTCCCATCTGAGAAATGTAGAAATACCACGAATTTCGGAGACCCGGAAGCTAAGAGGCACCTGCACGCAGAACTTGCGCGTGGCAGTGTGAGACAAAGGGGTCACGGCCTCGCCAAGACAAGGTCTTCAACTTGACTCTCGAGGCTCAAACCACCAAATCTCGTTACATCAACATCCAAATTCTTAAACCTTGATTTTCGAGGGTGAACCCACCCAGCTTCCCTAGATGGCTTGGCCTTGACCCTCGACGATGCACCATCCATGTCTCCAAAACCCAGTTTAGGGTTTCGATTCAAGTTTGACAAAGGCGTACCTGTGCAACGATTCTCAGAGGCACGAGGACAATGCAAAACCGCATTGTCCGATTCCAGTATTCCTTTCCACGCCAAGACCTCCCTTGCCCCTCCCGCCTTCGAGCCTGCCCCTCCCCCAACTGGGGCCAGGGATGGCCGACGAAGAGCCACAAAGGTGCAGTGTGCTGGGCATTGCAGGCCTTGGCGAGCCAGGTGAGCTGCACCTCCTCCGTGGGGATGGACGAGACCTTCTCAAGACTGAGCTTTGCGACGGCTCAAGTTCAGCTGAGGCCGCCGAGGCCCCCGCCTCCATGTCCACATCTGACCACCCGCACGGTGGGATCTCCTGTGGCAGACACGACCACCTATGACAATGAGACTGTTGCCAAAAACAACATAAACTACCGCGCCTCCAGCCCGTCAGCGTTTGTGGAACCTGTTCCGATGGAGCAACATATCCACATGGTTGCCAAACGCAACGGCGTCCAAGGCACGAATGGCCAAGAGTAGAGCAAGCACCTCAGGTTTCAAGCAGGCCTTTGCGAGAGTCCTGCCTGGAGGCACCAGCAAACACCAGCACTAGCCGTCGCGTGAGGAGAGTCGCAGCCAGGAAAGAAGAGTCATATTTCCTTGCTTATGTAGAGAGTCTTAGTTAGAGATAGCCATGTCAACCTTATGACAATCTACGAATACAGTACAGCCTGAAAACCTACGAATATCTCGATGCCTCAAGCCGAACTCGTTCTATTCTTAAGCGAACAGACTCTTGAAATGGGCACGGCGCAATGTCCACGACAGGGCACACGGTGCTAATGCAAGCATAGACAAAAGGCAAGCTGCGAGGAGTCGACCATCGGAGGACACGTCCTCTGAAGCGGGGCATAGCGCGGCTGTGATGCGGCTCTGCTGCGAGAACAGAACCCACATTGTGCGTGCAGATCATCATCATCCTCTATTGCGCTGTGTCCTTCTGGAAAGCCAGGCGGACCAGCAGCAACCAGCAGAAGGCCTGGACCTCTGAGGAGCGAGAGGGCTCTGCAAAAGCTCTGCAAAAATCCGGGCCCCGGGCCATTCCAGAGCTGCACCATCGGAGGAAGGGCAGCCGGAAAGCTTCACGGAGCGGTGGCTGGAGCCGTGCCGACCTCAGAGCGGAGTCTAGGCCCCGAATCAGAAATCTTCGCTGGCTCATGCTGGCTCCCTGGCTCCTCGATCCAGGTCGACAGGTCCCCACCGCGGGCCTCGAGCTCGACAGCGAAGTCTTCGCGAAGTTAGGCGCAGGCGGTTCGAAGACGGCCTTCATGGCCGCGACCAGGTTCTCCTCCACTTTCTGCTGCTCACCTCAGCTGGTGCTGTGGCCTGGAGCGAGAGGCGAGGAGCAGCAAGATTCGGACTCCAGGCGAAGAGATGGTAGTAGGGGTCCACGGCAAACCACCTGAAGAACTGAAGTATGCGGAGCCATGTGGAGCCAGGCATGGCCCAAAACAGACGCCGAGCTGAGTAAGGCTACTGGTCTTCCCTCAGGTGGTACCTCGCCGTTTCAGAAGGGGCAGCCGTCTGCGTGTGGGCTGATGGTGGCTGATGGACGCACTTGGCAGGGTTGTGGCCGCTGCCATCCGCTTCAGAGAACGAGCTGATTTCCCGCAGCGCGGCCTCCAACCTGATCCCATCAACAGATAAACTGCAACAAAAAGTCACCCCACTGAAGGGCCCAGCATGTGTTGGTCCTTGGCAGTTGCTGTGGCAGTAGAACCTTACAGAACAGGGAGAAAGAGTCTTGGTTTCTTCCGGTTGCGCATCCGGCATCTGTGGGCTAGAGCAGCTCTCTCCCTCTGTCTCTCTGAGCTCTCAGACGCTCCAGGCGAGGATCCCAAAGCTGCGAATGGCTCTTCGGACCGACGCTAAGGAATTGCCTGCACTTGTCACGAGACCCGCTGTGAAAAGCTTCAGGCCAGGATCCCCCCACCTGGTCGTATGTGTCACTAGCTGCGGCCAGGTCAGCGAAAGATGAGTGTTCCAGCTGAGCAGCTGGTACAAACTTAGCCACAGACACGGCCAGCTCGATTGGTTTCATGTACACAACCCGAATCCACACATCCCCGAGCCTTGAGACCTCCCCTGCTGCCTCCAAGCCCCGTCGATGCAAGTGGCCGAGCGCCGACTGCTGTGGGCTTCTGATTGGTGACTAGAACCTCGTCAGCCCTTCAAGAAACAAAGCCGCTGACAAAAGCACGAAGCTCTGCAGCTTCATCATGGCGAACTCCTTGCTAGGCGGTGCTTGCGATCGTCAGGGCATCATGCTCTAAGGCTCTAAGCTCCTGCTCCGGCTCCTCCCTGAGAAGCAGCCTGCGAGCCATGCGAGCCGCACCCGTCTCCCAGCAAAGGCGGGCCCGCCGGGCGCCTCCCCATCGGATCTCCAGGAAGAAGCCAGTGGCCAAGCTCAAACCTCGAGCTCTTTCAAGGGACCAGCCATGGGTCCCCTCGTCCATTGGGTCCATGTGCTACCGCTGCTACCGAGACCGGGGCCGCTTCAAGGTCACTCGGAAGAAGGTCTCCGGCCTTAGCTCGGGCAGCTCGCGGACTCTCAGAGACAACCTGAACAACCCGTCACGAGGCCTCAGAGCGAGCGCGGCCATACGCAAGACCAGGAGATCCACGTCGATGAGCAGGTGGTGCCTCAGAACTCAAGGCTCGTGTCAACTGGCGAAGAGATCCGAAGTGAGCGCAAAGCCAATAGTTCATCCTGTAGAACTCACTCTCGTGCTCCAGAGCCTCTGGCTGCGTCGTGCAACTGCTCGCGCGCGCCAGCGCGGGTCAGGAACTCTTCTTTCGGCCTCTCCGTTTCGACGCCACATGCCAGCCATCCTTGGTTTCGATGACTTTTCTGCGGGGGGGCAAAAGCGGCAGCAGTGCACAAAAGCAGAGGGAGGCACACCTGCCAATGAAGGACCAGTGCCCTGAGAGGGTGCTCCATCCTAGGCACCACACGCTCCTAAAGCACACTCCACATTGGCATCATTCCACGTCTTGCCGCTCAACTCTTACACTGGGGCCCAGTCCACCAAATGATGTCGGACTCAGCCGACATTCCAACAGCACAAAACACCTCCAATTGCAACCAGTCGCAACACTCAGAGTCGGCTGAACTGTCGCTCAGCCTGTTCCACCAAGCTGCCGTCACCACGCGCCCGCGGAGCTCCTAAACATGTCGGAGCAGCGGAACCCGCTACAAAATTCACTTTGAAAGCCTGGGCCCAGAGTGTAAGCGCCTTCTGAGTGGAGTATCTCCTGAGCACCGGACGAATGCAGAGCTGGTGCAGCAAGAGCGCCAAGACCTGAGTGCTGACAGCGAGTGCACACCACGAGCAGCTGAAGCAGAGTACAACAGCAGAGTCCCCGGCCCGGTTCACTGGAATATGAAAACTGGTGCCCCTTGATACCTGCGCGGAAGGTCACTGCTCCACGGGCCGATGGCACATGGCAATACATGGCACATCGGTGCGCCTCGTAATCAAAAGCACCTTCCATGGCAGCGGCTCCAACCTGGCACGGAGGGCAGTGTGGCCGCATGGATGCCGTGCAGGCCCCAGGCGGCCGAGGCGAGTGCGCGGCCCTCGGCTGCGTGCACCTTCCACTGCGCGCAGTGCACACGCAGTGTCCACACAGTGTCCCCCATTTCATGCTGCGCCTGCACCATCCAACTGCGCAGCTCGCGCCAAGCCAGCTGCCTATGCTCGGACTCGCCAACGCCCGATACTGCCCGATTCCTTTTGTGGAATTCCTTACACGCCGGGAGCTTTGCGCCATGTCTTTCACCGACTCGAGCTCAGCCTTTCACCCGTGAGTGCCTTCCCCTCTTCCCCGACTTGAAGCTGTCGTCTGCATGCTGCCTTGAATTCGATGGCGTCCAGGATGAGCCATGTGTTGGACCTGAAGCGTGCAACCGTCAACTGTGGGCTTTCTGCTCGAGATTGCTCGCTTGTCGAGATAACCCGGTGAGGCTGAGAAGGTCAGGACAGACGATTTCAAGGTTGAGCTGCATCAGTCATATCTGCTCTGTGAACCCAAGCTTCTGCATCTCGTCCGAACGAGTGAGTGGGCAAGTAGCAACTCAGACACAAGCCCCAGGTCTGTGTGCAGAGTGAGCGCATTTCCCCAGGAGGGGCTGGTGAACCTCAGGTGCACTGGTGATCTGCAGAAACCTCTTGCATTCCCACTCTTCCGGCTTTTTAGTCCAGCACTCCACATGATTGTCGCTGCGGCGCTTGTGCGGATTCATTGCCTCTCGAGTCGGCGTATGCGAGACAATCCAGTAGCCTCTGTCGGTAACTCCAACTGGCCTGCATGGATATTAGAATCTGGATCCATCCAGCCCACAGCTCTCCGCTCAGGCGCGGCGATCGAATGATCTCCCGCCTAGCGAGCGGATGTCTGCTAGCAGTCTACAAAGCCTGTGGGCAATGTTATGCTTTGAAATGTCTTCGTACTTTACATGGGGCTGGGAGCGGCGCGCGATGTCCGAGTGATCCAGCACATACAACAGATCCATCGAACACCTCCGAGCTCCGCGAGCAGACCAGACTCTGGCGGTGGGGTCAGGATGAGGATGAGGGAGCTGCTGAATGATTTCGTGGTCACGGAAGATGTTCGACTCGTGATTGAAGACCGTCGGTGCAGAGTCACTGACAAGCCTTGCATATGGCTGATCAGCTATTTTCAGCCCTGCGCACTGATAAGCCGACATCACCACGAAGCTAAGAACAGCACGCGGGGCGCAGGAGCCCCCACAGACACTCCAGCCTTTGCAAGCGCAGTGCTAGACTATGGCTGGAGAAGGTGCGTGACACGCCACATACCAACAGTTCTGATTCAACGAACAACACAGGATCTATGTGCCCAAGCCGAGCCAACTTGCTTAGCTTAGGGCCCTTGCCAGGCTTCAGTGACATGTAGCTTGAGTAGGATCGAGGCAAAACGAATCGACATGGGCGCAGAAGCACATGCCCATGCTAGCTCTGGCATATAGCCTATGCATGATGCAAGACGCAATGCCATGCAACAGCTGCACTTGGCCACGCAGGGCAAATGGTGTGGCACGAGAAAGACAGAGGCTGTCAAAAAAGCATTATTGGACTTTTGCACGGATTGGGGAAAGAGTGCCTGCTTCGCAAGTTGTATGTCTTTCACCAAGCCCTGTTCAAAGGGGAAGCGTAGACCGGTTGAACTTCCGGCCATGCGCCGCTGATCTTTCCACATGGCAAGACCAAACCCTCTTGCATAAGCTTTCATGACAGCGCGTGTGCATCTAGACGCCCAACGTGCCAAGTAGGACGCAGACAATGTCTTCACCAGGTCCCTGTCACGAACGAGCTCCATCGTAACATCCTGGAAAGTTCTTCTTCGCCCTCAACCGTTGCAGGTCCCGGTAGTTTGCAGCCTGTCTGGTGAAGATCTGGCAAGTGAAATCTCCCAGCCTTGGTCCGAAAAGCTCTTCACGACTTGGAGCAAGGAAACCACTCTCGGCTCCCATCTCGTTTGTGTCTTGATTTCCTTCCTGAGTTTTCGACGGATGCTGCTGCAGACTCTTTCGACACAACTGGGGCTGGATCCCTGTTGCGCACCAATTCCGGATAAAGAGTGGTAAACACCTGCCAGGCTGCCACAAACACTTCAGCCGGGCTCGTTTCGCCGCGCCTGTGCAAAGCGGTGCTTGAAATCCAGGTCGAGCATGAGATCCACCATGAGGTTGGTCCTAATGCGGCGGACCAGGCTGTGGCGGCTGAGGCCGGAAGGGCACTTCTTTTTAGCCCTGAACTCAAGCTTGCGAACCGAGGGCTCCATCAGGTGCGAATGCCTTCGACTGGGCACAGACCAAGTCATGCTCTTTGGGAAGACTCAGACGCGCCTGAGCAAGACCTCCACGGCACTTTGGCCCTGTCACGGCAGTCAGCCAAAGTGGGGATGGTCTCGGCTCTCACGAGCGGCCTGGACAAAGAGCCTTCGGTCCAAAAAGACCTCGAGGTGGTGCTCCGCACCAAATTCAACCAAAAATTGCATGCGCCGCCTGGCCAATGATCTTGCGAAGACCGTCCTGAAATGCAGGCGTTGACAAGGCTCAGCAACAGAAGTTTCAGCTGCCAGACGCCAGAGGCTTCCGCATGAAAGCCACCTAAATTCAGCAGCCATTCGAAATTGGTCTCCAACGCCTTCCAGGATTCCAACTTCTACAAATCCAGAACGGTCGTCACAACAAAGGTGGGCCAACCTGTAGATGTTTTTCGGCTTCAGCAATCGCTGATGGGCCCACGTGCATTCGCAAGGGGCTACCACCTTGCGATCAAATCAGCAAGAACCCTGATGCCCGCAGCTTCCACATGCTTGAACGCTTGGCAGCCCACGGAGGACTTCGCCGCTGGCATTGACTATCGCTGTCACTCCAGCCTGCTCTGCTAACCGCCCTGAACGCCATAAGCGAGGTACTTTCAAGCTTTTTCCAGCTCCATCACCACATTCGCTGATCCCCAGCAGGCGCTCGCAGGCTTGCCCCACTGCGCCGGAAAGGCTCGCGTGGTGAGAGCACCCCATGCATAAACCCTTTCAGGGTTTACGCCCCTCTCAGTCTGCTCATGCTCCGGCGCGGCACACCTACGACAGCAGAGACAGCATTGCTTCCGTAAAGCTTCATGAAGCGCCCGCCCGGCACCTGCTCAGCGGGATGAGCGCTTTGGTCCTGGCTGCAGGCAGAGGTCGCACATGAACGGAACCCTCGAACTCTATCGATCCATCCATCGATCTATCTGCCTTTCTAAGAAGTTCTCTCGATCTATCTTACTATCTATCTACCTGTCTATCTATCTGGTCACACATTGGTTTGATTGGTAAGTTACCGCAGGGGTTTTCGGAAGCCAGGTTTATGTGGAATGGGCTGAACCCACGCCTGCCAGCAAAAGTCAAGAAAGTGCAGATATGCTTGTGAAAATGGCTCTCAGTGACCACGTAGCCTTGAAACTTGGGGCGTCGCACATGTGATTTACACAGCTCGAACGAAATCAGCCTTCCCCCACCCCCACCCTCACCCCCCCTTTAAGTAAAGTCCGATCCTGGCAGCGCCTAGAATCCACAGCGAAAGCCTCCAAACCGCAAAACCTGCACAAAAGCGCACCGCAACTTACCTACGCGTCAGGATCTATCTACCCATTTGTAGGTCTATGAATAAAAACGAATTGCGCGTTCCCACCTTTCCCCCCCCTTGTCTGGTCTGGCAGGGGCGGGAGAAGGGGAGCGGCAGCGAGTGCGGAAAGCAGTCGGGGCCGCGGTGCTCCTGCTTTAACCTTAACCTGTACTTTACACCTAACCCTAAACCCCGCCTAAACGCAGGCTCTAAGCCTAAAGCAGAACATAAACCGTCAACGAACCTACACCCCAAACCCTCCCTAAGCCCTTGTCGACTCGAAGCCTTCTACCTTATAACCCTAAACTCTCAACCCTCAACTCAAAAGCTTACGCTAAGCCCTAAACCCCACAGCTACCGGTGGGGGCCGGGGAGCGCGTGACCATATATCTATGTATGTATGTATGTATGTATGTATGTATGCAGGCACGTACGTATGTATGTATGTCTGTCTGTCTGTCTGTCCGTCTGTCTGTCTGTCTCTGTCTGTCTGTCTGTCTGTCTGTCTGTATGTATGTATGTATGTATGTATGTGTTCACCCAGCACTAGTCCGGTACCCGCAGGAGTCGGACGCATACCTTTTTGGTCCGATGCCAGAAATGCGTCTGGTCGGTGCCGGCTACGGACCAGTGGCGGCCGGAACGGACCGGACCAGACACAGAGAGTGCCTTCTTCCGAATTGGCCCGGAAATCCAACGGTAACGGAAGTCAAGAGATGGGAATATCCGGACAAGCGGAAGACCAGGCAGGGCGGAAGCAGGGGAGGCGGTGGGTAGTTCAAAAGGCTACGGCACCGGACCAGAAGCGGAACCGATGCCGTCTGAACCCACAGCTGCGGTGTCAGACACGGTTCCGCTGCGAGCTGGCCAAACAAACCCAATCATCAAAGCTCGGAATCATATATATGTATATAGATAGATATAGAGATATACATACATACATTTTATACATACATACATACATACATGCATGCATGCATGCATGCATGCATGCATGCATGCATACATACATAAGTATATACATACCTACATACATACATACATACATACATACATACATACATACATACATACATACATATATATATAATATATATATAATATTATAATATATATATATATATTTATTTATTTATATAATATATATATAATATATAATATATAATATATAATATATAATATATAATATATAATATATAATATATAATATATGTGTATATATGTGTTATATGTATATATATAATATGTATATATATATATACACATACATACATACATACATACATACATACATATATATACATATACATATCACATATCATGGGTTAGGGGTCCTTGTGCGGGGTGGACAATTCATCCAGCTTCTGCTTTTTGAGGTCCGCCACCTGTGCTGAGCGACTGCAGGCATAACACAGCAAACGAGTTGGGAACGGCGCTTTGCCCACTGACTTGCCTTGTCTGACACGCCTGTGCTTCCAAAGCCACCGCACCCTCGCTGCGTTTCGTCCAAAGACCTCGACAAAGGTGCACTCTTGCACCGGATGACTCCCCTCACACGACTGCAGCGGAAATGCACACGACGTGCCCGCAGTCGATTGCCAACGGCAGCAGGAGATTTCGAAATCAAAACCACCATGCGGCCAGTCCACGACCCCCAACGGCGCTTATGGCTTATGAGGCTGGCCTGAAGGAACCCCTTCATGCCATCCGATGGTAGGCTCGGGCTGGTGAACCAATGCGGCCAAGAAGCTCCACTTCATGGCA